CTGCCCATCCCATTACACTTTAAATATCTTGGCCAATTAAATATCTTGGCCAAATCGTCTCACAGATCTCTTATGACTCTCCTCCCTCTTGAATAGAAAGTTTGCAAACTGGGCATGTTGAACGGCCTGGGATAATAAGCTCATAGCTGGTGGAGGAGGTGAGAACTCGCTGTCCATGCCTCAGCTGGAATGGCTGTCACCTCCCCTCACAGCCACATTCCCGTTGCCAGGCCTTCAGGATCGGACCGAGACCCTCAACATTGGCTGTTCTGGTTCTTAGGTCTAAAGGATTGGGCTGGGCTTTCCTGGGCTGCCAGCCTGCAGGTGGCAGTCGTGGGACTGCTCAGCCTCTCCATAACAATGACTCACTTCCTGTCCATCTCTACCTCTGCAGATCCTATTGGTTCTGGCTCTCCAGAGAACCCTAAGGCTTTTCTGCCCTGACTTCTTCAATTACTTATTCTTTTACCAGCTTCACTGAGATGTAATTCATATACTGCACAACTCACCCACTGAAAGCAGAAAAACCAGTGCTTTGAGTATATTCATAGAATTCACCATCCATTCTTGAAATTTTTCATTGCCCCAAAAGGAAGCCCCTCACCCTTTAGCCATCATTTCCTTTTTTTTTTTTTTTGACAGGCAGAGTGGACAGTGAGAGAGAGAGACAGAGAGAAAGGTCTTCCTTTGCTGTTGGTTCACCCTCCAATGGCCGCCGCAGCCAGCACACCACGCTGATCCGATGGCAGGAGCCAAGTACTTATCCTGGTCTCCCATGGGGTGCAGGGCCCAAGCACTTGGGCCATCCTCCACTGCACTCCCTGGCCACAGCAGAGAGCTGGCCTGGAAGAGGGGCAACCGGGACAGAATCCAGCGCCCCAACTGGGACTAGAACCCAGTGTGCCGGCGCCGCTAGGCGGAGGATTAGCCTGTTGAGCCACGGCGCCGGCTAGCCATCATTCCTAGTTGCACCTCCTCCTCCAGCCACAAGCAGCCACCAATCTACTTCCTACCCCTGTGGATCTGCCTGTGCTGGGTATCTCACATAAATGGAGCCATATCACATGTGCTGCTTTGAGACCATCTTCCTTCACTCAGGTGACGTCCTGAAGGCTGATCCATGCCACAGCACACATCACCTCTCCGTCCTTTGTACTTAATATTCCATCGTGTGACCGTATCACATTTAATCATTCCGTTCCACTTGGGAGTCTCAGGAGTGACAGCGCTATGAAAAGTCGTGCCTTTTCTTTGTAGGAACACGAGCTTTCCTTTTTCCTTGATTCTGTGCCTCACGGTGGTAACTCTATGTTTAACCCTTCGAGGAAGTGCCAGGCCGCCTTCCCCAGTGGCTGTGCCATCAATGGCTCTTTATCTGAAAGCTTCTCGGTGCTCCAGAGATTTAATCACTACCCAGCTAACTTTCATCTTATTTGTCGATGGCTTCATTTTTAATTCATTAAGCCCTCAGAGACGTTATTCAATGGGAAGTGACTACATGTAGCTTTTCCTTCAAGTTCCAGCCAGGGAGTGCAGAACTGTTGCTGTAGAATAAGCCTCACTTTCCTCGTTGATACGTATTGCGTTCTTTCCTATATTGCATTTTTATGTTTAATAAACTATAATTCTGGGTTGCTTATACTGTCATTCTACTTATTTCCATGTCAAGATCATGCCATTCAACGATTGTCGGTTTTAGTAACTGACACGATTCATGTCCCCTTATCAGACTTCATTTCTAGATGATTCTTTATCTTCACAGTTGGACTTCAGAATATTTGTATCAACTCCTTTGAGTAAATTTCAATGAGGAATTTGTATCCTTATTTCATTATCACTGTATATTAATTGGAAATAAATTATTACTCCTCCAATATTTCATTCTCCCTCCTGAAAATGCTATTTGCATAGGCGAAATCTCAAAATAAGACTTGCTGTCATTAGCACTTGTTTGCTCTATGAATTAAAGAAGAAAAAAAGAATCAAAATGCTTCTTGGACTCAGAGTCTGAGTGATGAAGACAATTTTAATATGACCTTGCCAAGTTTTACTGAGGGCTTTCAGAAGGAGGAGAGATTTTCCAAAGTGACTTTGGAAGATACAAAGAGTCCATGTTCAAAATTACCAGGCGTCAGATTCAGCCACACAAAAGAAATCACTTTACATAATAGAACTCTTCAGAGCTGAAAAGAGCTGCCAGTAAGCCCTTCACCCCTGGAAGCATTCAGGTGGAGGCTGGATTGCCAGGCATCAGGCAGATAGCTTCCCACTTCTTTATTTTCAATTATTTATTTTATTTATTTGAAAGGCAGAGGGATAGAGAGACAGAGACAGAGAGAGAGAGAGCTTCCATCTGCTGGTTCACTTCCCAAATGTCCACAATGGCCGGTGCTGGGCCAGGCTGAAGCTAGAAGCTTGGAGCTCTACCCAGGTCTCCACATAGGTGCCAGGGGGTCAAGCACTTGCACCATCTTCTGCTATTTTCCCAGGTGCATTAACCTGGAACTGTGTGGGAAATGGAGCATCCAGGACTCAAACCATCCCCCAAATGCAGGCAGCGGCTTAACCCACCGTGCTACAACACTGGCTTCCCTTCTTACTTCTAAACAGTCCGTGTTGAATTTGTTTCCCAACTGACCTTTGTATGAAAAAGGTCAAGGTCAAGGACCACACTCTAAGTTGGTGCTCAAGAAAGGAGACAGACGAGCAAGAAGGAAAGAGATGATGTGATCAATAAAGTAGACTGATCCCTTGAAAGGACTCAGGGACTCATGGGTGACAGTGGAGGAGCAAGGAGAGGTTGGCCAATGCCAATCTCCACTGATGGAAAGTAGGTCCAGGCGTCAGAAGAGACACGAGATTGAAAAGCAGGTCAGGAGAGGCCCTGAGGAGTGGCACCTCAACAGCCCTCTAGGACAATAGAATGACTGTTGGATGCACCAGGGTCAAATGAAGGTGGATTTGTCTTGGGATGATGAAGTTGTGCATCTCCAAATTCCACAATCCAGACAGTAGGGATTAGAAGGTAGAAAGTACAGTAGATGTCTGGCCTTTATGGCTTTAATATTCATAGCTCTTACCATTTACCATTAACTCCTACCAACTAAGACATGCAGTAATCTGTGAACTTGGCCAAGCACACACTGGATTCACAGCTGCTGAGAGACTGCTGGAGAGGGGTGAGTCACTTATTTGGAGAGCAGACCTGTGTCGGTGTCATACCATGCCTTTGCTCTTCCCTACGAATCTCTGTGGCTGCCGGAAGTATCACACAGTGGTAGGGCTCTCGTTGCTTTGTAGACCCAGGAAAGCTCATGGATAATGGTGCTATTAAGGTAAAGCCTGCTGACAAATGACTTCAGTAGTCCAGAGAGCGATGCAAGGTACCGAAGATGCCACTGTGGTGCTCCAGGTGTTCTCTCTGTTTTATGCAGGTGATCATGCGTATGACATAATCTGAAAAGCGGGAGGCTTGAAGCTTTCAGAGTACAAGCCTTAAAAGCATCAAAGTTCTACTTACTGAAAGGGCGAGGCCATCATTATAGAAAAAACTATAGTCCTATGTATGTCCCCAGCTACTGCAAGAGTTGGAAAGGGCTGGTCAAAGAATCTATTTTAGAATCTGGAAAAAAAATAAAGGCAGCATCTTAGTCTGAAAACTTAGAGCAGAAAACACACACATAGACACACACACAAGCTTTATTGGGGTGGGCTGGGGTAGGGGCTGTGAGCCCAGAGAGATGGAGTATGGGCAGTGAGAGCAGTCCAAGGTACAACTGCTGAGTTTCTGGATGCCGTGGACCCCCTGAAAAGCCAAATGGCATGCCTCTTAGAAATGTCTGTCTAGGCTGAGAAAGGCGTTGATCCACCAGCTTAAACCCCCATTGGCCAAAGGATCACTCCATTGAGACGCTACGTCCCCAGTACTTCCAAGTTGCTCTTATGAGGATGCCCACAAGTCCCTGCAGTGTCCCAAGTCATGGCGATGACAGAGAAACCTTAGAACAGGGGGCAAGAAGGCTTGCAGGCTGCCTCTATCTGCACCTAGTTGGACCTGTAGCAGAACTGGTCACCAACTTGTGGCTCAAGTCAGACAGACGGGGTTGCAAGGATCCTGGATGTTTGCAATTGAAGGTCAAGTATGTTGGGATGCCCAGGGTGGAAAGAAAGCCCTTGGAAGCTTCCTGGCTTCTCTCAAATGCAAGGCCTTCTTACAAAAGCAGGGGATACCATGATGAGGTGAGAATTGGGTGTGAGTAGAGAAGCATTCTCTGAGAGCTAGGAAAGAGGTGAGTGGGGTGGTGTCCAGGGATCACTCGAAGCTGAGTAGCAGGAACTTCTGGTTATTTGCATTTTTCCATGGGGTGACTGTACCCTAAGAGTAACAGCTGAGAAAGAGCCCCTAGGAATCATGGTGGGGGGCACCGGCGGGGAGCACAGGTCAAAGGTGATGGGGTGAGGGTGATGTGAAAGCAGCTGATCACGGACTCTAGGGAGAACAGGTCAGGTAAAACCAGAGGCACTGATGTTGCCATGAGAAACATCATAGAGGTTTCCGTGAGAACAGGGCAGAACAGAGGCCAGGGAGGAAGACCACAGTCAGAGAGGTCTTTGCAAACTCCAAGGCCACTGGGTAGGCAATCGAATGTCTGTGTCCGGAAACCAGTTGAGACTGTGGATGTTAAAGTTGTCCAAGAAGGGGTTGGGAAGGAATGGGAGGGTGTGACAGTGCCCCCAAACGTGGCCCAGGATGGAAGAAACAGAAATAGAAGGGGCTGGGAATGACTTAAAAGGTGGCAAAGTGTCAGGAAACCAGCTGGTTAATTAGCAATCAAAGAAGCTGTGAAAGTTTGAAAACAAAACAAGACTTGCTCCGATGCAGACTTAGAAGAGGTGGGTGTCGGCTTTCACTTTTCCTTACTCTGCTGGCTATAACTTGAGTATGCTATTAGCCTGCAAGTTTGTGATGCAAAACAAAGAGAACAAAATTAGCCAAGGACAAAGCAAGAATTCAGTCCCATTGTGAGCAAACACTTGCCTACCACCTACTGATTCCACAGCTGAGCAAAATAGGCAGCCCTTCTAAGGTGTGGTTTTGCTACTCTTCCCAGTGCTCGCTTGTGCTAAAATCTACTCCAACTACAAGACCCAGATAGTACAAAGGGCAAATGGAAGAAATGCTTTCAAAAGACGGAGAGATATAAAATCTGTAGTAAATGTTTAACAGGGTACCCACAGAGAGCCTGCCATATTTCGTTGGCATCTGTTTGCTTAGCTTTCAAGTCTCCAGGAAGGTACCTGCGCTGTCACACTTTGCCTTCAGCCCAGCACCCCACTCCACAAGGCACCAGAGCCATAAGTACAGAAAGTGACAAAGAATGACATTATGAGAGCTGCCATTATAGACTGCCTCCCGTGTGCCCCGTCTTTGCTAAGTATGTGGCTGTTTAGCTTGGTCCTTAAAATAAAGACATAGACTAGGCAGTATCAGCGGACTTCCACTTAACAGTGGGTTGGCCAATGACACTGATACGTCATTCACGATTCTTGGTTACCATTGAGTCTACTCTAGCTGGCTCATTCCTGCTGGGCATTTCTGAAGACATGCAGAGGGTCGCTTATGTTAGTGAGAAGATTTAGAACTCTGTGCTAAACTCTGGAAGCTTCCATAGACTTGGGGCATCGAGGGAGCCACTGCCTCTTCCACAGTCAGGAAGTTGCTGAATGGAGAGTTCACGTTCTCTGACAGATATCCAGGGCCGATTTCCTGACCCAGGCAGGCACCTGCTGTAGCATTGGCCAGTCTTATTCTAGCATCCCACCAATATATGTTCTCCTACCAATATATATCTCCCCCTCAGTCCTCACCTCAGCCTTTCAGCAGAGTATTATTAGTCTCCCTTTGTAGATAAGGAAACAGGCTCATAATGTTTAGATAGCATGCAAGGCGGTGAGAAAATCAAGATTTGGACCAAGGTCCACGGGTCAGTATTCTCATATGGTAGGACTTGTATTTGCTTTGCTGAAATTAAACACCAACCCTATTGGACTATATTCCCAATTCCCTTTATCCTGACTGTGATTCACCAGGTTTCAAAACAGCAAAATAGGCCCGAGACTCTCCCATTTCCAAACCCTTGCTCCAGCAATGTTCTTAGCTGTTAGGGTTCCTTGATCTGTGGAGCAGCCGAGAAGTCATGTGTGTCAGAAATGCCTGCGTCAGGAAAGCAAAAAGAGTTTTCCCATCAACTCACATCTTCCATTGACGGGAAAGTCTTCCAAAGAGGCATGAGTGTGCTTTCTATCTGACCACACAGACCCTAGCCCTCCCGGCTCACATGCTGTCTCTCCATAAATACTTCTTCTTCTTCTTCTTTTTTTTTTTTAAAGGTAGAGTTGGACAGTGAGAGAGAGAGAGAGAGAGAGAGAAAGGTCTTCCTTCTGTTGGTTCACCCCCCAAATGGCCACTACAGCTGGTGCACTGCACCAATCCAAAGCCAGGAGCCAGGTGCTTCTCCTGGTCTCCCATGGGGTGCAGGGCCCAAGCACTTGGGCCATCCTCCACTGCACTCCCGGGCCACAGCAGAGAGCTGGACTGGAAGAGGAGCAACTGGGACAGAGTCCGGCGCCCCAACAGGGACTAGAACCACGGGTGCCAGCACCACAGGCGGAGGATTAACTTAGTGAGCCGCGGTGCCTGCCTGTAAATACTTCTTCAACTGCCCTGGCAAAAGGTAACCCCACCGTCTCCAAGACTTGATGTATTAGATTTTTTCCCCTCTTCTAACTTTTCTCACAATCAATTCCCACACTCCTAATCACTCCTTCTGCAGTGTAACTTCGTTAGAGGTGAGAACCGTAACATTTGTCTCTGCATCCCTTCAATCTACTGGCACAGTGCAGGAGTGTGGTAGGACTCATTAGATGAATAATAAATGTATTAGTGGACTTCTGCTCTTTTCTTTAAAATACTGCATAGTGGCTGGCATTGTGGTACAGCAAGCTAAGCTGCTGCCTGCAATGCTGGCATCCCATATCAGAGTACCGGGTTTGAGTCCTGGCTGTTCCACTTCTTATCCAGATCCCTGCTAATACACCTGGAGAAGCAGAAAAAGATGGCCCAAGTGCTTAGAGCCCTGCTACCCACATAGGAGGCCCAGAAGGAGATCTTGGTTCCTGACTTCAGTCTGGCCCAGTCCTGCCTGTTGCAGCCATGTAGGGAGTGAAATAGAGAATGGAAAATCTCTCTCTCTCTCTCTTTCTCTCTCTCACTCTTCCCTTCAAATAAATAAATAAGTTTAAAAAAAAAACTGGATAATCTATATCCAAGTAATTAAAAAAATCAACTAATCTCCTAATGTTTCTTCCATCATCACTGCCCACCTGATTTCTCCCATATTTAGTGAGCCTTCATCAGTTGCTAAGGACTGGATGTTTGTGTCCCAAAAATGCATACATTGGAACACAGGAAGTGGAAGACTTTAGAAGCGGTTAGGTCACCGAGGTGGAGCCCTCCTGCGTGGGGACCATGCCAAAGACACTGGAACTCTCTTCCTCGCACTGTGTGAAGAAACAGCTAGAAGGCGCCATCTGTGAACCAGAAAATGGGCCTTCGCTGGACACCAAACCTGTTGGCATCTTGACCTTGAACTTCCCAGCCTCCAGAGCTGTGTTGTTTATAAATCACCCAGTGTATGGTATTTTTGTTGCAGCAGCCCACGTGAACTAAGACACCAGTTAATGTATGCAGAATATTCTTCATGCATGTATTTGTTTTGTGGATTTAAACCCTTTTTGAATGAGCTTTAAAAAAAAAAAGAAAAGAAAAGCTCCTGCTTCCATTATGACAAAGAAAATAAGAAACGAAGACCACGCCAAAAAGGGCCAAGTGCAGCCAGCCTACGATGAGTGCCCAAGGCCAAGGCCATCGAGAAGCTCATCATTCAAAACAGTGGCAGCTGCAGCCACCAGGGACTTCTCTAAGGCCAGGGTCTTCCAGGCCTGGGCACCTCCCAAGGTGTCTGTGAAGCTGCATTGCTGTGTGCCCATCCCAATGAGGGAGTCAGAAATCCATCTCCTGAAGTCTGGAATGACCAAACACCCCCACTTGGATGTAGACCTGCAGGTGCCACCCGTCAGTGCCCCTGGAAGGAGCTTAGTCTTATGGTGGAAATCAATACTTGAACAAAGAAGGGAGAATGACATTGGATCTCTGCAATGGGCATTTTCTCTTTGGACTCATAGTAAGAGGACACTGGTTACAGGCATTTAACCTAAGTATCCACTCATCAGGCCAAAAAGGGAGGCAGGTGTTGTGAAAATACAAAGATCAAGGCATCTCCATAATCTACATGTAATTCCTTCGATTTCCGGCTCACCTGGGATTTCCTACGTGTGTGTCTGGCTTTCAGATCAGTATTCAGCAGGAGCCTCCCAGGTTTCTCTTACAGCTTCCCTCTTTAGAGCCCCACCCCCCAAAGAGTAGCACCCAGGCAGGTTCTCCCCTGCTGTGCGGGTAATGAAACTGCTAAGCCGGCAGCTTCCTCCTGGTTGCCATGGAAATGACCAGGCCGCTGGCCCTCTGAACACGGAAAAGAACAGCAAGTGCAAGGCCACGAATTCCAGCCTGCCTCGCAGATGAGACCAGCTGGCCAGCCAGGGCGAAGGTCCGCCGAGCCGGGAGGAGCGGCCCCGCGGTGCAAGGGAGAGATGTGAGTAAATTCCACTTTTTAAAAAAGATTGTTTTAAGCATGTCTAGTTCCACAGCTTTTGATCGCTTCAGGATTTCTGTGTGGCAGGAGAATTCTGAGAGAGGCTGAAGAAACACCTTCAGACGGTCGTAGTATTTGCATTCCCTGAACATGATGCACCTCCTAGGGGTGGCTTCCACCGGGAAACTTTTTTTTTTTTTTTTTTTTTTTTTTTTTAGCTTCCAGGCAGATGCGTTGCTCTTTACCGAGATCCTGCCTTTAACTGGAAACACTCCCAAAAACACTGAGCAAAGAATGAAATGATCTCCCCACTCAGCCCCTCGATAGATGAACTCCTTGGAGGCGGATATACCCGCCATCCCCATGGCTATGCTTTTCAGCTGATCTTTGACATGAGATAATAATAGCCTCAGACAGGACCGTTTCCCATCTCTTCTCCTTACTGTGGCCACAGAGAAAGCTGGGAGCTCTCAGAGCCTCTGCTTACACTGGCTTTTTCCCTATGCTTGCTGTTAGGAGTAGAATAGCTACTGCCTATTTGTGTGTTCGATTCTACAGGGTTTACTCACTGGAAAACGCAGAAAGGCGAGAAGAAACTAAGTTCAGATGAGGGCTGGCACTTGCACGGGACGGTTGACTTGAATCGGTCTTTTTATCCAAAAGTGGAAAAAAGATGGTAAATGATGAATAATGAAGCCAAGAGGAGCGCAGCGTTTTAGTACTGCGACCCCGGTCCTGCACATTTTTCGTTGGTTTGTGAGCATGTTTGGGGGCGTTTTTAGCAAAATGCATGTTGTTGTAAATCGAGGAAAGGAAATGTTTCACGAGTATTGTGTACAATATATTTTTTTAATCTCCTTTTAAAATACCGAAGAGACCTCATTTGTTTGAAAACAGAGATCCTTGAGAAATTTCTGCTTTTCTTGTAGACTGAATAATGTCATATGTTTGAAGGGAAAAAAAGATTTTTCATTAATTTTTTTGGAAAAAATTGAACATTTCCTAAAGATAAGAATCCAATAACATTTACGAAAGGAAGTGTGAAAATTCCTTTCCACATCAGTGTTTTTCATGCATGAAGGCTCTTCAAAATGTTCACGGAAAATGTGCACTAGGAAAAAAAATACGAATTTCAAAAAATGTTGCACCAAAATAAACTTCCCTTTTCATTCCATTTTCCATGAACTTTGTGAAGTGCTTTCCTACTACCAGCTTTAAGATCCAGTGCCCTTGGCCTTGTGCCTGAGCCTGTGGGCCACCGTAAGTGAGCGTTCCCTGTGAGCAGGACGGACAAACCACACTGCTCTGTGGGTGTGACCCAAGGGGCAGCAGGCAAAGCTGTGGAGTTGAACCCCTGTGATCCAAACCATGGGACAGACGCCAAGTCATCGAAGTTACTGAAGGGTTTGCAACCATTGGTGACTTCACTCTGACGAGGACCCATGTCATGTAGAAAGGCACCATGGCGACAGATGTGCTGTAGTCAGGCCTCCCCATTGCTGCCCCACTAGCTTCCTCGCAGTGTATTTGGCTGTCTGGGTTTAAATGTTGGCCGTTGCTAACTGGCTCTGAGAGAGGTTCTTGGCCACCTCTGCATGCCTCCATTTTCTGATGTGAAAGTGGGGCCATAGTATATATCTTTAGGATGATTGCAAGGCTTAGATGATATAAAACATGCGAAACACTTAGAGCACTACTTGGCATAAAAGAAATATTCATGAAATATTATTAATAAATTGAAAATTCATTAGGTATCATTCCTGATTTGTCTTTTTTTTTTTAAAGATCTATTTATTTGAAAGGCAGAGTTACAGTGAGGCAGAGAGAGAGAGACAGAGACAGAGAGAGACAGAGAGACAGAGAGGTCTTCCATCCGCTGCTTCACTCCTCAGATGATCACAATGGCCAGAACTGGGTGGATCCAGAGCCAGGAGCTTCTTCCGGGTCTCCTATTCGGGTGCAGGGGCCCAAGGACTTGGGCCATCTTCTACTGCTTTCCCAGGCCATAGCAGAGGGTTGGATGGGAAGTGGAGCAGCCGGGACTTGAACCAGCGCCTTTATGGAATGCCGGCACTGCAAGCAATGGTTTTACCTGCTACGCTACAATGACGGCCCCTATGATCTGTCATTTTTTTGGCATGAGACATCACGATTTTGTTTTGAAGTACATGACCTGTCATCAATGACTATTTTTTATATCTAGCTAGCTTAGTCCTGGAACACACAGCTGAGGGACAATAGAATAATGATGCAATAACATTTCTCCTCTGTTTGGGAGCCTGAATTGTCTTGGGAATCAGAAGCTGTATATTTTACATATATCCTAGTCTTTTTTCTGTTGGAAGAGCAAAATACCCAAGACTGGGCAATTTGCAAGGAGTAGAAGTTGATTTTGGCTCACAGCTCTGGAGCCTGGGAAGTCCATAATTGGGTGGGCACCCCTGGTGAGGGCTTCCTGCCGCTTCAACTCTTGGTGGAAAGCAGAAGGACAAGGAGGAGTTGTGAAAGGGGTGCACACGCTTGGCCGGCGCCGCGGCTCACTAGGCTAATCCTCCGCCTGTGGCGCCAGCACCCCAGGTTCTAGTCCCGGTCGGGGCGCCGGATTCTGTCCCAGCTCTCTGCTATGGCCCGGGAGTGCAGTGGAGGATGGCCCAAGTGCTTGGGCCCTGTACCCTATGGGAGACCAGGAGAAGCACCTGGCTCCTGGCTTCAGATCAGCGCGGTCCACCGGCCTCAGTGCGCCGGCCACAGCGGCCATTGGAGGGTGAACCAACGGCAAAGGAAGACCTTTCTGTCTCTCTCTCTCTCACTGTCCACTCTGCCTGTCACTGTAGAATTTTGTACCTTCAAAACCTCAAAAAACCAAAGAAAAGAAAAGGAAAGAAAGGGGCGCACACCAGGGATTGCCTCTCCTTGTAACAGCCTGCTGATCCAGTCCCATGAGCCTGAGAGCTCGCTAATAAGAGAAGGGCATTAACCCTTCATGAGGCCTCCACCCCTGCCATCCAAACACCTCCCACTAAGCCCCACCTCCCATACTGAGCAATAGTGGTTACAACACATGAATGTTGCGTGACACCTGGGAGTCTCAGCTGTACGTGACGTCTCTTAGACGTTGGGGCATGAAGTTCAGGGAAGCGGTGAGTAGTTAGAGGTCTATCTTGGTTCTTCGTCAACAATGGATGGCATTTAAATCCATGGGGTTGTGGGCAACCACCGAGAGTGTGGAGGTCCATGGAGAAGAGAGCCAGGCCCTGAGTGGAAGGCACACAGCAGTGTTAGTGGAAGAAGACTTGATGCCAACCTAGGAGGCTGAGGGGGAGTGACCATCATAGCAGCAAGAAAACCAGGAGAATGTGGTGTCCTGGAAGAACCCGAAATTCTTCCCTGAAGAGGAAGGAGAAGGCAATTGTGTCAAATGCTGGTAGAAGTCAAGCAAAATGAGAACAGGAAGTCAACCATTGGGCTTGCACACCGGGGGAAGGGAGTCGCAGGGGACCTCACGAGAAATGTGGCAATGGAGTGACAGCAGCAGGACCCTGATTGGGAGTGGCTTAAAAATCTGACACAGACAGGTGCTCCCTGTGGGGCCATTCTCATCGCTTATAAAAGTTTTTAAATTTATTTTAGGGTAGGTGGATGTGACACTCTCCGAAAAATAGGTTTGAGTCCAACAAGAGCTGTCAGCTATGCCCTAGCCTATTAACATTTCATGAGGGAAGGGAGATTTGAAGACCTTCTAAGAGATAAAGACGTTTTCTCAGCAGGTATGGAACAGAAAGCAGCCGGAGGTGCGTGAGAGAGGAATCGAGTCCAGAACAGAGAGTGAAAACACACAATGGAAGTTCAGAGAAACAGTGACACACACACACACACACACACACACACACACACACACTCTTCCCGACTGGTTCCCACAATATCTCATGATGCCGCACCTTTCCCAGCTTTGATCTATTTCCCATGCAAAGTCTACTTCCCATTTACAGCTCTGAAATGCCTGGGCTCCCAGCTCATTCAAGAAACCCAAATCTTTCCTGTGGCCAGGAGGTCTGAGGAGCCCATCTGGGGTTGTGCCCAGAGCCCATGTCATGGGTGCTGTATGTAGCCCAAATTTTCAGCTGGAGCACCACTCACCTTCAAGGAGTCATCCATGAATCAGGAGACAAGATTGCAAAAAAATTAATAAACTTATTTTAGGATAGTTTTCAGGACATTGTGAAGACAATACAAAGAAGTCCCATATAGAGTTAGCATCTCAGCTTGGTACATTGCTCACCAAGAATGAACCGCTACTGATCCATTATTATTTTAAACTAATCCATACTTTATGTGGGTTTCCACAGATTTTATCTCATGCCTTCTTCTGTTTGAGGTCCCCATTCAGGGAACCACACTGCTTTTAGGTGTCCTTCCCAAAAGAGACTTTAAATCTCTTACAAATCTTTCAAGAAAGCAATAAGGTTTAAACATCTGAGGGTTCCACCACTTGTAACTGAAACCACCAGAGGAAAATGGAATTCTTTTCTCAGACAGAATGGTTGAACTTTAACTTGAACACAGATGAAAGGGAAAAGCCCAAGCTTACATCTCAAGGTAGGAGCCCAGGGCACTTTATGAGAAGGGAACAAAGTACCCCTGTGAGAGGAAGATCTGAATCCCCTTTTATTGTCCTGGAAGCAGGCAATTAAAATATTAAAGTGCTGCCCGCCTTTTCTGGTTTCTCATCTCCCAGCAAAGGGCCAAGCCTCTGACTCATTTTCCTTGGCAACCTCCCCCTCTGTGACACCGGCCCTGTAATTTGAGTAATGCTCTCTCTGAGTTAGCTCCGTGTCGGCTGTGGGGGAGTTTTGCAGCAGACCCTCAGCTCAGGTAATTGGGGCAATGGCTTTTTGGTGCTCACAAGTACCCGTGAGGCCAGGGTACAGCTGACCCTCCATCTCTGTGAGTTCTGGGTGCACAAATTCAGCCAACCACAGATAGAAAATATCTGAACATGG